CAGGGGGAGCCTCACGGGATTTGTCCTTTGGAGACCGGCTGGTTTCTCAGCTCAGCGTCCTCCGCCTTCGCCGCCGCAGCCTGGCCTGTGTGGGAATCTCCTTCCCTTTAGGGGGAACCGTGTCCCGTTGTGTGCAGGGACTGCGTCGACCGCGTCCGTTCATCTGTGGGCCTCTTCATGGACACCTGGGCTGCCTCCCCTTTGGGGCGAGGGCGAATAACGCTGCTGTGAACGCGGGTGTGCAAAGGGCCCTTCCCAATCCCGTTTTCAAGCGTTCTGGGTGTATAGTTATGAGGGACTTGCTGGGTGACAGAGTAACGATGTGTTAATTGTTCTGAGGAAAACAGCCAAACTGTTTTCCACAGCAGCGTCTCAGACGGACACGTCCCCCAGCAGCACAGCAGGGACACGGCTCTTGTCCTCGCCGACACTTGCTACTTTCTGCCTTTTTGTTTGTTGTGTACTAACGATGCTGGTGGGTGCAATGTGGTGTCTGGCTGCGGTTTTTATTTGTGTCTCCCTAATGACCAGCACCTTCTCGGGTGTCTGTGAGCCATTTATACCTCATGGAGAGGACGGAGAAATGACCGTCAAGCCCTTGATGTTCTGCTGTGGTTGCGAGCCATGCACTGTATCCATCTGTTAAATCAGCCACACTATTTACCCCAGCATTTGCATCACAGCCCTGCCAGCCACGTGGGTCCTTCCTTCCTTCCTTCCTTCCTTCCTTCCTTCCTTCCTTCTTTCCTTCCTTCCTCCCTCCCTCCCTCCCTCCCTTCCTTTTCTTTTTTAGATGGAGTTTTATTCTGTCACCCAGGCTGGAGTGCCATGGGGCCATCTCCGCTCACTGCAACCTGCAACCTCTGCCTCCCGGTTTCAAGCAATTCTCGTGCCTCGGCCCTCCAGGTAGCTGGGATTACAGGCGCCTGCCACCATGACTGGCTAATTTTTATATTTTTAGTAGAGACAAGGTTGCCCAGGCTGGTCTCAAACTCCTGACCTCAAGTGATCCACCTGCCTCGGCCTTCCAAAGCACTGGGAATTACAGGCGTGAGCCACTGCACCTGGTGGCCTCACTTTCTCTGCACACTGTCAACGTTGCAGCAGTTGCTATTTTTAACCTTCAGCCATTCTCTCTGCCGCAACACCTCCTTGTGGTTTTAGTTGCATTTCCCCAGTGGTAGGTGATTCGGAACCTCTTTCCAGGTGCTTGTTTCCATTTGCACGTTGTCCTGGGTTAAATGTATCTTCACATCTCTTGCCTGTTTTTAAATTGTTCTCTACTGCTGAGTTTTTTTTGTTTTTTGTTTTTTGTTTTTGTTTTTATTGCAGGAAAATACGCAAAACATGAAACTTACCATTTCAGCCATTGTAAACAGTCACGGAATTGTACAACCATCACCACCACTGTTTAGTTCCAGAACTTTTCACTCCCCAGATGGAAAACCTCAAATTCAAAAAGCATTTACTTCCCCTTCCCCAATCCCTTCAGCTTCTGAGTAACAATGAATTTGCTTTCTGTCTCTGTGGATCTGCCTATTCTGGGTATTTCATACAAATAAAATCATAAAAGCTGGGCATGGTGGTGCATGCCTGTGGTCTCGGCTACTTTAGAGGATGAGGCAGGAGGATGGTTTGAGGCCAGGAGTTTGAGACCAGCCTGGGAAACATAGCAGGACCCTGTCACTATTTTTATTTATTTCTTTATTTTTATTTATTTTTTTTGAGATGGAGTTTCACTCTTGTTGCCCAGACTGGAGTGCAATGGCGCGACCTCGGCCCACTGCAACTTCTGCCT